ACTTCATGCTACCGCGGACGTCATCGTTGTCTTGCAGGTGACCTCGAAAGCGACGACTCACAGGGCGCCGGCGATGGCAGAGCTGACGAAGGTGAAGACCCCCCCCCTGGACCACTTTCGGGCCTGCCTCGCTGCCGCCCTGCCCTGGAAGAAAGCCTCTTTGAAGATGATGCGGGAGTGGCGCGCGGCACTGCATCGTCTACGAAACACCCGAATCGAGGGCGTCAACGCAGCTCACGACGATCCAAAAGATTCGGAGGACGGGGAGTGGTTAAGGTACTCGTGGGGAACCCCATGCCGACAGCCAATAGGTACGTGGGAAGCTCATAAGTCCATGGGCATTCATGGTTTTGAGTACAGACTCATGCGCCAGGGGTAGACTTGCGAAACTAACGACAGACGTCTCCACGTCCTCGCCCACGACTCCCCGTCCTCGTTCCTGTGCGCTTGGACTTGTACGGTTGGCTGGTTGATTAACCTCGACGTGCTATCCGTGCTACCTTGCCCTGCTTTCTTACCATGTCGTGATCCTCGCAGGTGGCTCCGTCAGCGTGCGGCAGTGGATGTCTGCCACGACGACACCTGCTGTCCCGAAGCCAAGCTCCTCAAGGATGCCGTCAAGACACACCCCATCGAGGCGGACGACACGGAGGAACCTGTGGCTAGCGCCGAGCCCAAGAGCGAAGCGGGAGGGTAGCAAGACCAAACGTAAACGCTCCATGTGATTGGTCGTTGACAACGTCCAGTCTCGTACCCCCAGCCTATTCGTGCATTTCAGCGGTGTCGTGGGCTTGAGCGGGGTAGCAGCCCTGGACAAGTTCGTATCCTCGCGTCGTTCTAGCGGGCGGTGGTTGCGCTACTACAACTTAAGCTAGTGATACCATCCACAGCAGCGGACTGCGGCGAGGCAAGGGCGCCCCGTAGATGCAAACAAGGTATGATGGTTAAAATGTGAGACCCCATTATCGAGGCATCAATGCATCGCAGCAGTGAAAAATCATATGGAAAACGACGCAGCCTTGGCCCCATCGTTCACAGCCCAATAGGAGGATGACACT